GTGTTCACAGCCCCCTGTCAGCACCACATCATGATGGCTGTGAAGCTAGACAGGGACTTCGGGATGTGGCAGTGGCCACAGTAGGCGAGGGCTGCAGACACCCCACAGGCCATCTCCAGGATCCTGGCACCTTTAGACTATGCAACACTGTAAACCTTGCTGCACCCAGATCCTTGGCAGGATGCCCCAGCTCCACATCTCTTCTAGTCTCTTTTTCCTTTGTACTTTTACAGGGCTTGATTCTTTCCTTCCTTCCCATGTATAGGATTCTCACCTCTTCCCTGAAGCATGCCTATTCTAGCACATGGCAACAAAACTCTCTCATGTAGAGTGTTTACATTGTTGGTGAACTTTCCCATCTCCTTGTAGCCTCCTATCTCCAAATGTCTGAAGTGACCCTGCTTGGGGAAAGAGCACAGAGTGGCCCCATGGCTTGTTCTGACGGAGGAACTCAGATTGCCGGATGCTCAAGCTCCAGCTCCTGACAGCCTCTCTCTGTGGAGTCCGTGTTTTTCTGTGCTTACCTGCCCTCGGGCCATGGCTGCCACCGAGACACTTCAGTGATACTCCCTGGGGTGGGGAAGGGCACCCTACACTTCATGAAATTCTAAGGGAAGGATATAGAACTGCTACTTCTGACATGTCTATATTTTATAGCCTCAAGTGTCTTACATGCACATATGCATCCCAATTAATCCTTAGGAAGGAATTCTTGCTTTGAAAATTCCCCTGCAGCATTCTCTCTGAGAAACCCTGCCACGTCTTCTCCTATTTTCACTTATCTTGCAAGAACCACTTCTGTGTACCGTCCCAATCGGACCCAAACACACATAGGTATGTACACATGCTCATACACACACACAGAGACATGAAGCCTCTCCTGCGGCGCCCCAGGTACCCTCTGTGCAATCTGTACATGGCAGCAATGCTCAGGTACCATAGGTAGGTGAGCAAACACAAAGTGGTGGATGGTCACTTACAATGCTGTCTACTAGTGTTGCCATTGTTTCTCTGACCTCACAAACAAGACTCCCAGCTTCTTGAGCAGGAATAGGAAACTGTGAAGCCAGGAAGCTGCTGTCATAGCTGTATAGCTGCTGGGTCCACCTCTAGCAGAATGTGCTACAGCGCAGTTTCCCACAAGTATATCTGATTGGCAGGACTTAAAATCACATCCTGAACCTGGCTGCAAGGGAGTCTGGGAACTGTAGTTTTCCTCTTTCCAACCTGGATACCTCCCTGTATAACCCTAGGCAGACAAATACCCAGTCAATCCCCAGTACCTACATTCCTGCAGGGAGAAGGCAAGTCTTATTAGCATTTGACACTGTTAACTGGAAAGTTCTCCAACATAAAAAGCCACACTGAAGGGTGGGGCTAGGATATGGCAGAATACAACTCAGACACTGAAGGGCTTTATGTGAGTAACCCATCCCTTCAGCTTCAAGTGACCTCAGCTCTTAAGAAGGCAGGAAAGGCTGGGCGCAGGGGATCACGCCTATAATCTCAGCACTTTGGGAGGCTGAGGCAGGTGGATCATAGGTCAAGAGATTGAGACCATCCTGGTCAACATGATGAAACCCCATCTCTACTAAATATACAAAAATTAGCTGGGCATGGTGGTGTAGCCTGTAGTCCCAGCTACTTGGGAGGCTGAGGCAGGAGAATTGCTTGAACCCAGGAGGTGGAGGTTGCGGTGAGCCGAGATTGAGCCATTGCACTCCAGCCTGGGTAACAAGAGTGAAACTCCATCTTAAAAAAAAAAGAAGGCAGAAACTCGGTTTCCAAGGGACTTTCTTTCCTTTTCACTTGCTCCATGGGCTAAACTATTGAAAGACTTACCAGGTCTGTTGGTCATGATGGAATAGGCTATGTCATGTAACAGCCCCATGACTCTCAATGGCTTAACATTAAAATGACAGAGTTTATGTCTTGTTCATGGCATCTGTCCGTATGGGTTGGGAAGGGGTTTTAGCATGAACTGGGACATAGGCTCCATTTTCACACACACTCCCACACACATTGCTGGAGAGCCAGGAAAAGTAGAATGTGGCAAATTGCACATTTGTCTCTGCAAGGAAGAGACATGTTGATATGTTGCTTACACATCTATTTCATGAGCCAAAACAAGTCACACAGCTCGCCTACTTCAAAGGGGTGAAAAGCACAAACCTCCCACGAGACAGAGGACAGGAGAACCGACCTGTGGTAAACAGCACTAATTAGGAGTCTATGCCCGTGAAGTGCTCCCAGTGTCCTCATCCCTCGGCCAGGATAACTGACACTCCTCCATCACCATTTTTCTTTCCCTCCAGGCATTTAACATTTCAACTTGAAAGATACTGATATAATTTTCACTTGAAAATGGCCTGTGAAAAAACAGCACAGTCCCCAGAGGCAAAATTCTAATTGTGCTTTTCCACAAATACTTCAGTGGTTCTCAGCCTGTCATGATTTGGTGGGCTGAGAATGCTCTATGCTGTGTTTTGTGTAAAAATTCTGCCTATCTTTCTTAGATTAGGAAGGAAGAAAAGAGGACCAAGAGGTTGGCCGTAGACAGTTTCTCAGTTCCAGTGCCCACCCTGCCACAGGCTTTCTCTGACCACCTCTCCCCAGTTTAAAGCCATTTCTGATTTTCTTGAGCACCCCCCTTTCAAGTGCCCTCACTGTATTATCAATGCTTGCATAAATGCCCCTTCCCCCCTACTAGGCTGTGAGCTCTTTGATCCATATAGAATTGTCTCTACACTCAGGTGAACTTTATTGAGTGTTTTTGAATGACTCAGGAAATGAATCTCTTTATTCTCTCCCTCAGGATATTTTCTGTAAGAGGTGCTCAGCATCTTTTGAGTGAAAAAAAGATCGAAGGATGAATGGATGGATGGATGGACAAATTAAACAAAGGACTGAAGATGTATAGACTCCAGTCAGCATCACGTAGGGAGAATAAACAAGCCTGTTCTCCTCTCCAGATCACTCTAATTCTGATGAGTTAACTCATAAATACAGGTTTCGGAACCAAATGGGAGTGGGGCTGACTCACAGCAATTTCTCATCACTCTGCAAACCAAGGCCCATGCCCTGCTATGGCCAGGAGTGTCATCTGGAAATATTCATGTAAACAAGCACCCCATTTTTTCTAGGAGGTGTTTTTTTTCCCCTCTCTTCTTTTTTTCCATTTCCTAGGTTCCCAACTTCATACTTAGCCCTTTGGAAATGCAAATATAGGCCTGGTGCAGTGGCTCTCGCCTATGCCTGTAATCTCAGCACTTAGGGAGGCTGAAGTGGGCAGATCATTTGAAGTCAGGAGTTCAAGACCAGTCTGGCCAACATGGTGAAACCCTGTTTTTACTAAAAGTAAAAAAAAAAAAAAAAAAAAAAAAAAATAGCCAGGCATGGTTGTGGGCACCTGTAGTCCCAGATACTGGGGAGGCTGAGGCACAAGATTGGCTTGAACCTGGGAGGCAGAGGTTGCAGTGAGCCGAGATCGCACCACTGCACTCCAGCCTGCACGACACAGCAAGACTCCGTCTCGAAAAAAGAAAATGCAAATATAACCTTTCACCTCCCCTTCATTAGATATTCCCTATAGGGCAAGTTTATCTCTCTGCTCCAAAATGATCCTCCAGAGTTGACTGGAGACCATTTGCAGACCAAAGCACGGTGTCCTCAAACTTTCACCTCCAGGGTTGCCTTGGAACTCCCACCCTCCAGGGGCTGCTTCAGGACTTTCATTCACCAGGAGGGCGTATCTAAAGCATGCCTGCTTGGCCACTTTTTCCATTTATTTTTGCCTAGGAAGGCCTTACTTAACTGTCCAGTAGATAAGGCACCACGATAACAGGTGGACCCTTGCTCACTTGCTCCCTTACCTTATAAAAGTGTCTGCTTTCTGCTCCCAAGGGGAAGCGGCACATTAAAAGGCGGGACATTGTGTGCCCCTCCTCCAAGCTAGCTTGGGAATACATTCATTTTATTTGTATCAGACCTCACTCTTGTTAATTGGACTTTGCATGCATTGAGCAACCAACCTGCATTTTCGGTTACATTCATGTTACACTTTGGTCATGATTTAGCTCTTTGGTCCCAGGGGCAAGCTTTGCTTGGTCAGTAGCATAGGGTGTTGGTATGTTTATTGGATGGATTCCATGGCCCAGACCGAGTAATGTGGGGGAAAGGAACAACAGGACAAGTGTTCTAGAAATTCTTGTCTGTGGGACTGACATGACATGTCTCTGCTTTCCCTATTAAATTTCCCAGGCTGAGGCATGAGATCTCCCAGAACCCTAAAGCCTGGAAGGGGTCAGGAAGCCAAGGCAGCAAGGCTAGTGGGCACTCCCAGGGAGAGTGAGCTACATCTGTCCCTTCAAACATCAGTTCCGCTTTCCAGGGCGATGGGAGCTGTGTAAACATGGAATTCCCACATCTCACAGATCCCTCCTGGGTGGAGGAGAAAAGAGAGAAAAGAGGCAGGAAATGTAGAAGGGCAGGAAAGTGGTGCATGTGTTCAAGTGGTGGTGAATAAAGGGGAGAACAGATAGCTCCCTTTCCAGTAAAATAAAAAGACAAGAATTTCACCTACCCCTGCTATTTTCTTCCCATTTCCCTTTCAGCTCAAAGAAAAGTGTGGAGCTGAGAAATGGTCCCTAGCCTGCACTTTGGCACCCAAGGGTTGCCTCCAGAGCAGGTGAAACCTCTGCCTGGTCTTCATCTGCCCTTCATTTCATATGAAAGATAAATGCGTGTTTGCAGAAGGAAGCCCAGAGGCTTGGGGAACATCTTCACTCCACAGAGGCAGGGAGCGGTGGCTCCACCAGCTTCGCCTGGGTTGGTCACTGGGCCCAGGGGAACTCCAGGCCACTGGGAAGCTGGTTGTGGATACTGGCTGTTGGGTGGCCACAGTGAGCCATGCTCAGCTAAAGATTCCACCAGGAACCCCAATTAAGAACCCGGCCCCTCTCCCTCAGCCTCCATTGAACGATGCTCTGTGGCCAAGCAGGTACCAAAGAATAAATGTACTGTATTAACATGAAGACTAATGACAGACGCACTGCAGTAGTAAGCACATCATAGATACATAGAATATTCTCTATATAGTCTGAATATGGATATAAAATAAGTTATACTCATTTTGTTTTCCATCACAGTAGGAGCATAACATACAAAGTGACTGGTTCAGTGGCCATGAAGCAAGCCAGGGGAGAGAACACAGAGAGTGTAGGGCATTGAGCATGGTATGGATTTTCCAAGGACTCTGCAGAGTCCCTGAGGATCCAAGACACCAGACCTCTCAAGTTAGCCTTCTAAGAATTAGCATGAGGTCCCACTTGACAAAAGAGATGGTATGGTAGCTGCATCTAAGCTGGGATGATTCAGACAACTGGGTGGGAGGCAGAGCAGGGACAGGCACGAACAGCACCGAGCAGGCCAGCCCACTCTCCTGCTGGTGCTGTTGGACGTCTGTGAGGCTGGAAATACGGGGCGCAGAGCCAGAAGGCACGGTTTGCTTCTGTGACATGACAGATGGCCAGACTGATGGCCCACCAAATGCTGGCTGGCCCTCCTGCCTTGCCAGCCTGTCCTAGGAGGCTGCAGGGGGCCTGCATGCTTGGCTTGTTCTCCATGGTTCGTCATTGGGTATCAATGCTGGGATTCTGAATACATCATAGTGCAGGGAAGCATCTGAGGGTCTGAGGCTCCAGCTTTGAATCCTCTCTCCATCACATGTGACTTCTGTGAGTCTGAGAAGTTTGCCTAAACCCTTCTGAGACTACTCAGCCTCCTCATCTGCAAAATGGGAAGGCTAATGCATACTTACCTGGGGCATCAGGGAGGGCCACATATAATAACGTATATAAAGTGCCTAACATAGCTCCTGGCACGCAGTGGGGGCTGGGTAAATGTGAGTCAAGTATGAACATCTAAACACCATAGACCAGGTGGAAAGAACATCTAACAAAATCCATGGACTAAAACCACTTTGCCAGGTTTTCAGTGGATTATAGGACAGCTTCCTTGCGCTATGAATTTTTTTCTCTTCTCTCTCCGCCTCTGGGATTCTTTAAAATGAAATACCGGCAGAGTTCAAAACAAGGTTTTGCTGAAGAAGACAGAGGCTTAGATAAGGAAAGAACAGAGTTCCTGGGATGACATCTCTAGAAGATTCTTCCTTTCTCACCTCTCCTCCCTGAGGCTGCCTCCCGGCCCTCAGATCTCCTAGCTCCTGAATGGATTTCTTATTATGAAGCCAAAGCAGGTAGAGGAAGCACAGAAAAAAAAGTGAATTGTCTACTAAATGAAAAGTCTTTTCCATCTGCCCAGAGCCCGGGTGTGGAGGCACTGGGGAATCTGAAGGTGGGTGGGCCATCTGTGGGCAAGTGAATATCCTCAGGTCTCTGAGAGGGGAGTGGATGATGAGAGGGGAGGAGGGATGGAGACTTAGGCTTAGACTCTGGCGCCCGGGAGTGCTCCTTTCCTTCTACTGATCCCGAGAACTTAGAGATGTACCCAAACAAGTATGAGCTGCAAACATGGGCATCATGGTCATCTCTTACCTACAGTGCAATGTCAAGATCTGTGCATGTATGTGTGTGTGTGTGTGTGTGTGTATGCGTGCACGTGCGTGTGTGTGTGTGTGTGTAGTCACTGCTCTCATCTCCTCCTCTAACACCTGCCTGTCTGAATGCCCCTCCACCCCCATCATTCAGCAACTTTCCTCTTGGACGGGGGCAAGAGGTGGGCAGGCAGCTCATTGGGCAGCTCGTGCCCCTCCAGCTTGACTTTGATAAGGTGGTTGGCCAGCGCAAACTCCTCATCATCCAGCATGCCATCCTTGTCAATGTCGGCCAGCTTCCAGATCTTGCCCAGCACGCTGTTGGGCAGCTTGGAGCGCACCATCTCCTTCTTGGCATTAGCGCCTGTGATCTTGCCATCCACTGGTGACAGGGTGTAGAAGATCTCGTCGTACATGGGCTTATCCCTGGCCACCACCCACTCAGCATCGTCAATACCTTCTCCAGCCCCCTCCCCATAGCCATGCCCAAAAGGGCCGTGCAGGGTGCCCTCGAATGCTCCGCCCTTCACCATCTGGATGGGCTGCTGTGACTCCTCCTGGCGCACCAGCACCATGAGTTGAGCAATGTCGTAGGCCAGCATGTCATCCACTACCTCCAGCAGCTTGATCTTCAGCGGCTGGAACTTGCTAAAGTCCTGGGCCTGCAGCTGGTCCTGGGAAGAAGGGGAGAGAAGATGAAGATAGGATACAGTGAGAGGGGAGAGCCCTCCATTTGTCATGTGCCTCCTATGAACACTAGAATGTTCACAACTGATCCCTTTCCACAACGAAAGACGTGTGACTTAGAGGCTCAGCTGATGGACATGACATGGTAATCAAAGGTATAAGAGGGGAGGGGAATGAAGGCCCACTGGGCTGATGATGGGATTTTTCAGGAGGAATTAGAAGAGTTGTAGGGGCTGGGAAGAAAGAGAAATTTAACAAGTATTGGCTTGACCTATTTATTTCAATCCCTTTTAATTTCATTCCAGAGAGGAAAACATACATATCTCTTTAAGTCAGTTTTGGCTATTGAATCTTGTCTCTTGAATGCTGTACTCCCTGATACTAGGTCATATGGGCCTCTACTTTTTTTTTACTTTTATTTTATTTATTATTGCTTTTTTTTTTTTTTTTTGTCACAGAGCCTCACTTTGTTACCCAGGCTGGAGTGCAGTGGCCTGATCTTGGCTCACTGCAACCTCCGCCTCCCAGTTTCAAGCAATTCTCCCACCTCAGCCTACCAAGTAGCTGGGGCTTCAGGCATGCACCACCACATCCAGCTAATTTTTGTATTTTTAGTAGAGATGGGGTTTCACCATGTTGGCCAGGCTGGTCTTGAACTCCTGGCTTCCCAAAGTACTGGGATTACAGGCGTGAGCCACCACACGATGGCCTCTACTTTAATAAGGGTTATGCTGTACTTGAAAATCACCACAAAGGTCTTCACTACATTACCTCATTCAGTCCCCCAATGCCTTCTGAGGTAGGAAAATCACATTCTATCCCCACATAGTGAAAAAACAAAAAAACAAGGCACAGTCTACTAAAACCAAATCATAATTAGAAGCCAAGGTTGTCCCCAAAGTATGGTTCTTAATCAGGATGCTCATTGGAGTTCCCTGAAGAGAGATTTCAAAATACAGTCATGTGCTGCATTACAATATTTCAGTCAATGAGGGATCACACATACGATGAGCGTCCCAGAAGAGAGTCATGGAGCTGGGAAATTCCTATTGTCTAGTGACATTGTACATAACACAACACATTATGTATCTGTGGTGATGCTGGTGTAAATGAACCTATTGTGCTGCCAGTGGTATAAAAGTCTAGCACACACATTTACATGGAGTCCGTAATGCTGGATAATGATAATGACTGTCACTGGTTTATGTCAATATTTACTATACTGTACTTTTCATTGTTTAGAGTGTATTCCTTCTACTTATTTACAAACAAAGTTAACAGTAAAACAACCTCAGGCAGGTTCTTCAGGAGGAATTCCAGAAGAAGACATTGTTATTATAGATGAGAGCTACATGTGTGTTACTGCTTCTCAAGACCTTCCAGTGGGATACGACATGGCGGTGAAGAGAGTGAAACTGATGATCCTGACCCTGTGTAGGCCTAGGCCACTGTGGGTGTTTGCATCTTGGTTTTTAGTACATGAAAAATTAGAAAGTAAAAAATAATGCTTTTTTAATAGAAAAAACTTATAGAATAAGAAAATATTTGTGTATAGATATGCAATGCATGTTTTAAGCCAAGTGTTACTATAAGAGTCAAAAAGTTTCTAAAGTAGAATTGTTAATTTATTACTGAAGAAAGAAAATGTTTCTAAAAATAAATTTAGTGTAGATTAAGTGTACAGTGTTTCTCTCTCTTTTTTTAATTTTTTTTGAGACGGAGTCTCACTCTGTCGCCCAGGCTGGAGTGCAGTGGCACGATCTCAGCTCACTGCAACCTCCGCCTCCCGGGTTCAAGCAATTCTTCTGCCTCAGCCACCCAAGTAACTGGGACTACAGGCACATGCCACCACGCCCAGCTAATTTTTTGTATTTTTAGTAGAGGCGAGTGTGACATGGTAAAAGCCCAAAAAAACTGCAGACCTCAACCATACCTCAGCTTTCTGTTGAAACTGCTCTCTGTAACCCTAATGATGGGCAAGCAGTCCAAACCCATACCATCTTGGCCCCTGCGACTTGTAATAAGTAACTAAGGTCTGTAATTTCCACCCTACCCAGACAACATGTAAACTAACACTTATCTTGACTTCTGTGAACCACTTAAGTAACAATCAGAATGTCCGAAGCCCCTCACCCTCATCTCTGCCCAGGAGGTAATTTACAGAATGTCCAAAGTCCACTGGCCCTTGGAATGTCTGAAGCCCCTCACCCTCACCCCCCGCCCCTCACCCTCACCCCCCGCCCCTCACCCTCATCCCCGAGGTAGTTTACGGGCATAAAAGGTCTTGACACTCTCCTTTTGGGGCCACGGGTTGGAGAGGCGCTAGTCCTCCGTGGCCACCAGCAATAAAGACCCTGCAGTTTGATATACTTTTGTCTTGGTGTTGACTTTCTGTGCTCGCACCAGTACAACAGTGAGGTTTCACCGTGTTAGACAGGATGGTCTCGATCTCCTGACCTCGTGATCTGCCTGCCTTGGCCTCCCAAAGTGCTGGGATTACTTTGGTATGAGGTATGAGCCACGGAGCCCGGCCAGTATAGTGTTTCTAAAATCTACAGCAGTGTACAGTGATATGCTAGGCCTTCACACTCACTCACCCTCACTCACTGGCTCACCCAGAGCAACTTCCAGTCCTGCAAGCTCCATTCATGGTAAGTGCCCTCTACAGGTATACCATTGTTTATCTTTTATATGGTTTTCTTACTGTATCTTTTCTATGCTTAGATACACAAATACATTGAGTTACAACTGCCTGTAGCATTCAGTACAGTCACATGCTAGGTTTGTGGCCTAGAAGCAATAGGTCATCATACCATATAGCCTAGGTGTTTGGTAGGCTCTACTATCCAGGTGTATATACATTCTATGGTGTTCACACAGAAACGACAAAATCACCTCACAATGCACTGCTGAGGACCCGTCCCTGTCATTAACAAGGCATGACTGCCCTCAGGGGTTTGACACAGTAGGGCACAGGCAGGCAGGCAGATTTTGGAAGAGCTCCCTTTGCCTTCACATGACTACCCACACCACACCATAAAAGAAATATGTTCTACTTTTCAGGTTTCTGCAATTTTGAAAGGTTCAATTTTGAAAGGTTCAGAGTCTAGAACAGCAACTTCTCCATGGCCTCTAGAGGGTGACAAGGTAAGAGCTTTCTGCTCCTGCCCTAGCTTTGGCCACAGAACTCTCCAGAGGCTGAGAAGGGGCCAGTATGCAGGGGTGAAGCACAGCTAGTTTGCTGCAGAAAAATGCAGAAAACACCCACAGCTTTCTAGGGCAGGTGTTCGCCTGAGTACCTCTCACCTCCCTCCTAGGGTGGGGCTGAGCCACAGAGGCCTGAGGGCTGAAGGCCTCCTGGAGAAGGAGCAGACAGAGCCCTATTTCCCACTCCTCAGGGCATCATGTCCCAAGGTCCTCCCACCTCTCATTCCTCCTGTCTCTCCCAGCCTGCTCACATCTAGGTGTGTTTGGTGGGCTCCCATGCAGGGGTCCCAGTATCTCCTAGGGGGCATGATGGGCAGGTACTCCCATCACCGTACACAGACACCCACACAGGACAGCTATTTACACTGTGGATTCAGCATACTGAAGCACAGAACAGAATATCAAACTGGCAAGCAAATGAGGCGAGAATTTTTATGTTTTGAAAGGATTTCTCACATTTAAAAAGGGGTCTTAGGGTACCTTTCAAATGTTATCTTCCCAAATGTTTGTTTACAGATCATTAAATTCTTAACAAAAGGAGAAGCGAAGAGCTGAAGTGTTCCAAGTCAAGGACCGGGAAATCCTCAACACAAAAGCAATGCTGGTTAGTGAATGGCTCGAGGTAGGTGGTTATAGGAATGAATGGATACATAATACTTGGAATATGTATTTTTTTCTTTTTCTTTTGAAAGATAGGAAACTAAAAATACCTATTTAGGACTATAGTGATGTCATGAAAACCCTAGATTTAAACTGAGAAACTGATTCTCAAGCTAAAGATCGACACAAGAGCAACAGCATCTATTAAGTCCTTCTATGGCTGCTATTTTTTAACTTTTCTAATTCCCTAATTCTTTTGTTTTTTAGTTTTTGAGATGGAGTCTTGCTCTGTCGCCCAGGCTGAAGTGCAGTGGCACAGTCTTGTGTATATCCATTCTATGGTGTATATAAATAGGCTCAGTCCAGCCTCTGCCTCCTGGGCTCAAGTGATTCTTGTGCCTCAGCCTCCCAAGTAGCTGGGATTACAGGTGCTTGCCACCATACCCAGTTAACTCTTTTGCATTTTTAGTAGAAGTTTTGCCATGTTGGCCAGGCTGGTCTAGAACTCCTGACCTCAGGTGAGCTGCCTGTCTCAGCCTCCCAAAGTGCTGGGATTACAGGCATGAGCCACTGTGCCCGGCCTCTAATTCCCTCATTTCTAGAATCATAAGAAGTTGATAAGAAGTTGAGAAGATAACATTTGAAAGGAACCCTAAGACCCCTTTTTTAACTTATCAACTAAAAACTAAAATCATAAGAAGCACCTACAGAGGGTAGATGCTTTGTGCTAGCGCCCAGCTCCCCCTGCCCACCCAGTGATGGCTACTGTGTATTAAGGGTGTAGTTTGTGTTTGGCTTTATGCTAAGGGCTTTGGAAATATTATCTCACTGGTGCTCACAACACCTGTGTATGAGGTGATTTTGTAGCTTCAGTTTACAGATGGGGAGATGAAGGCTCAGAGAGGATCCAGTCAATGTGGTATGGTGGTTTCCTGTTTGGACCTTGGGCACAGCTCCTGGCTTTTCTTCTTGTGGTCTATGTGACTGCTACACTCAGAAAACACTGAGACCTCAGTTTCTTCTGTAAAACGGTAGAGGACAAATGCCTCCCTCTGAGGAGTGCTTTGGGGAAAACCACAAGAAACCATATGTGATGGTCACTGGCCCAAGATAGGCACCTGCAATATGACCCAAAGATGAGCACCCGTGTGCACTTCTGCCTCCCTGAAGCTTGTTTCTCAAATTGCTCATAAGGTGGACCTCGGATGTAAACTCAGGCACTTTAAGAGCCTGGAGAACCTTGGTCAGGTGGCCCATCCCATTGCACCAGAGATGGTGGGATGTCAAGCCGGTGGTGGCCGTGACTAGAGAAGGTCATCAACTGGAGGTGTCAGACCCCCAACATCATCTAACACACCTGCACCCATTGGGGCGGTGGGCTCCGTGTCTCTCCCCTGTTGGGCCAGTGACCGCCCAACAGAGAGCAGATCCAGGGCCACCGCCTTGCCTGATGATTCTGAGCTGGATTCTCCCCAGGGGCTCCAAGGGTGGCCTCCTCCATACTCAGGCTGCTCAGCCAGCTCTCAGACACTGTCCCTGGTTTTAGAACCCCCAACCCTCGCTACCTGCATCCTCTTCAGGTTGGGGAAGTCCCCAGGTGATATCTGGTGCTCCCGCTCAATGCGGCCATAGATCTCAGCCAGGTTGTTCACCAGCTCCTTCTTCTTGTTGTCCTTCCCAAACACCGAGGGCATCTCCTTCTTCAGAGAGCTGATGATGTAGGCGTGGACCTGACAAACAGGGCCAGAGAGAAGCCTTCACATCAAGACCCTGGACGTTCCCTTCCTTCTAGGATGGCTCCCACCCCATTGCTAACCCTACATCCCTCCTGCCTCCCCCTGCTCCTACTTCTGAAATTCTTTCTACCTCTACTACCCTCATGCCCCCACATTGCTTGGAGGGCTGGGCTGTTTTTCTATGTTACATGGGCAAGGTGAGGTTGTGGGGAGCTACGGAAAAGTCAGGATGAGGTAGTCATGTTACTGCTGCTGCTGCTGCTGCTAAAGACAATACTAACAGCTGACATTTGCTGAGCATCTCCAAAGCTGTCAGGCGCTGTGATGATGGCTTTGAGACTCTTTATTTCACTTTATCCTCCAACAACCCCTTCATTTTACAGATGCAGACAGAGGCATAGAGAGACTATCAGCCTTGCCAAGGCTGGGAATCCCACAGACAGTAAATAGTGGAGTCTGTTCCCATCTGGCCCTCTGATCCCAGAGCCTGTAACCGTGGCCCCCACACTATCCTGCCCCTTGGTGCCACACACATGACAAGGTGGCTGCAGGACATTCTCCAGCCCAGCTATTGGAGGTAGCAACCCTCAGCTCCTGCAGCTGACCCCCAAACTCTTGGCCCCTGCCCAAGCTGCCCACCTTCCAGGGGGCTGCCTCACCTTGGCCAGCCTGGCTCTCTTGATGAGGTCATTGAGCTTGCGCAGGGCAGCATTTCGGGGCAGACTCTGGATGTCCCTGAACAGGTCCTGTTCCTCAGCCTCGAAGAGCTTCCGATTGTCAGGGATGAGGAGGGGGTGGGACCAGAAGGAGCCGATGTAGACCCGGATCACCTCTGGGGTGTTTACGATCTTCCCCAAGGACCACATGAGGGCCCCGTACACCCGCATCAGCTGCTGCGTCTCGATCTGGTCAGCTTTGTTCAGCACCACCCGCATCTTGTCCTCGTGGTTCTTGAGGGCCTTGATGACTTCTGAGAACTCATCAGAGATGTCCAGTTTGTGGGCATCGAAGAGCAGAATGATGCGGTCAACCCGCTCGGCAAACCACTCAAGGACAGCTGCAAAGTCATACCCTGCCGGCAGAGGGACAGTCAGGGGCTGGGGCCGCTGGGGTGTAGGGCAGGGGTTTGGAGAAGCAGTCAGGTGCAGTAGAAATAACACAGTCTTGGGAGTGAGATCTGAATTTAAATCCTGGCTCCTCCACATTTTGACTGTTTGGATTTGAGCAAATTACTCAATGTCTCAGTATTTTTTCATCTAAAAATACTATTAAATACTAAAATAATAGGAATACCTAATTGATAGAATTATGAAGATTAAATAATCCAAAAATCCAGCACTTAGTAGATTGTCAGTAAATGCTAGTTCCTTTTTTTTTGTTCCTGTCGCCCAGGCTGGAATGCAGTGGCACCATCTCTGCTAGCTACAACCTCTGCCTCCCAGGTTCAAGCAATTTTCTTGCCTCAGCCTCCAGGGTAACTGGGATTACAGGAATGTGCCACCACGCCCAGCTAATTTTTGTATTTTTAGTAGAGACAAGGTTTCGCCATGGTAGCCAAGCTGAGTCTTGAACTCCTGACCTCAGGTGATCCGCCTGCCTTGGCCTCCCAAAGTGCTGGGATTACAGGAATGAGCCACCACCCCCGGCTAGCCACTACACCTGGCCTAGTTACTCTTATTAACATCATTATATCCATAAGACACGCCACTATCCAGCTCTCCTATCCATGCTTACTGTATTTAGCAGCCTGCTGCAAAAGGAAGTCTGGACACCTAACCTGATACAAAAACTCAGAAATCCTTTGTAATGTCTGAAAACAATGAAAGAGTAAAAGGTAGATACTGATGATGGTTCAGACCATGCCCATCACTGGTCTGGAATAAATCTGCAATTCTTTTTATAAAAACACACAATTTGTTCTTACGCAGGCTCTTTCCTTTGTAATCAGCTGCAGCACAGAATTCCCAACTCTTGAAACCACAAGGGGTTTCTTCCTTAGGATGTGACTGGGACTCTGGTCACCCACAGCCTGGTTGTTGAGCACTAAGCTGCTTTAGGTCAGGCTGGTTACAGGAGCCCCACAGAAGCTGTTATACTCAATCCCAAGTAGCTGTGGATCCAGGATGGGCTGAAGCGGGAGGGCAGACCAACAGTCTATACATTCCTGACACCCAGAGCCCCAGTAGGTCTTAACTCTGTGTCTCAGGCTCCTCTGACATAAAATAGGAAGACAAGAGCTAAGGAAGTGGGGCTCAGTCAAGTGACTTGTGGAAGTGCACACAGCCCATGAGCAGCAGCAGTGGCATGAGGATGGAGGTGGCAGGCTTTCCCGCTCAGAGTCTAAGCAGGGTTCTCAGCCTCCCCTGCTGCCACTGCCCCATGGCATAACTCTGGCACCGAGGTAGGAGCCCTTTCTTGGGGTCTAATGTGATCAACCACCCTGGCTCCCCGTAGCACAAGGGTTCCAAGGGGACACTCACTGGGGACCCAAAGCTCATGGCCACCATTGAATGGGAAACCAAATCATTAGGGAAAAGCCTGCCCTGCCTCACAGAGGGAGACTGGAGACCAGGCAAGATCATCAGGCAACTGTCTTATGACTGAATCAGACTTAAGAAGCTCAGATTGTCTGTAATGGGGGTCCTAACTTAGCCTGCATCAGAATCCCCCACAGAACTTGTTAAAACCTAGATGGTTGGACTCTATTCCCAAAGTTTCTGTTTCAGTAGGTCTGACGCAGAGCATTTCTAACAAGCTCCCAGGAGATTCTGAGGCTGTCGGTCAAGGACCACACTTTGAATACCACTGGTCCATAAAAAGAACAAAAGCTAACACTTCCATAGCGTTCAAAAGGTGTGCAGCACTGACCTAAGTACTTCATAATCATTAATTCCTTTAATCCTCATGAAGACCCTATGCAGTGTCATTAGACACTAATGTCAGCCCCACTTCTCTGAGGAGTAACCAGAGATACAAACAGATAAAGTAACTTGTCTAAGGTTCCCCAGCTGGTATGCAATGGGCTGGGACTCGAGTCCAGGAAGGTGGCCCTGGAGTCAGTGCAATGGATCACTGCACTGAGCTGGCTTTCAAAGGCTGTCACATCAGACTAAGCTGCAGGCATCGATGAGGAGGAGTCAAGGGAACTAAGTTTAAGAAGCGTTTCCCTTACCCTGTGGCATCTAGTGAACCCAGTGGTGTACATATTTAGGACATGTGGAGGCACTGTCACAGGGGCTAAGAGAATGGGATCAGCACGGATGGGAAAAGTCGCTGCCCTAAAGCTTCCTGGAGGACCCCTTTAACGTTTGTCCAGTGGCTGTAAGAGAATTCCAACGAACAAAGGATGGTAAAACCTTCCTCTGCTTACCCAGATACTGGTACTATCCATTTTAAACTCCTCTGTCTTTGGTAAATGAAGTGCTTCAAAGTATTTCCATTCCCAGGTGATTTTCTCCAAGATCTATCAGCTGCTCAACTAATATACATCTCAACGAACACACGAGTCTTCTTCCCCTGCTCTTGAGGGGTAGACACATGAGGCTACGACGAGCTTAGCAATCAATGGTCCAACTCCCTGATTTACAGATAGGGAAACTGAAGCTCAGGAAAGGGCAGAGCTGGCCCAGTGTCTCCAGGTACCACCCTGAGGACAGTCCCTGTTTGGTGTGTCATGGAGGACCTGGTGTGAACTAGATTTTTCTTTCTCATTTGAAGACAGGTGCTTTGTCTGGGCTCAGGGGCAAGGCCCAGGAAAGTGCTTCAGAGGCTGCTCTGCCTGGGAGATGTTCACACAAACTCTATGAGGTTAAGTGACTCAGCAAAGACCACCCGTGGGACACAACCCCTAGCTCTCCAACTCCAAGTTCGGTGCTTTCTGCGGATGGCAAGCTGTTCATTCATGACCTCATTTCACCCTCATAACACCCTCTGAGATAGGCAGCATGAGGAGTATCATTCTCACCTCCAGGGGAGGAAACTGAGGTTCAAAGAGGAGAGGGCCAAACAGCTGGCAAGTGGTGAGGCCAGACGACCCAGCTGTCAGCCATCCAGCTGTTCTGCACCTGGCCACTTCCTGCCTCCCTCCCTCCCTGGTACGCAGGCCCAGCCAGTCCTCACTGGAGCGTGGGAGGCCTAAACACTCCCACTCCAGGTGAAGCCTGCAGCCCGTACTCCTCCCCTCCTTCCCTCCATCCCTCCATCCCTCCATCCCTCCATCCCTCCATCCCTCCTCCTCTCCCCAGGGACGGCTCCAGACGATTTTTAACTTCCCTTTGGCACAGCCCATGGCAAGGCTGCTGTCACCTCCCAAAGGCAGTCCCTCAGAGCTGTGGGTGGAGAGAGGCCGGAGGGCTAAGAAAATCAGGGCAGCCTGAGCCCCCTACCTCAACCCCCGCCTCCACAAACAGCTCACATCAGGAGCGCAGCAGGGCCCTCCACAACTCTCTGCCAGGCCCCTGGCCTTCTGCTGCTCTTCATTTCCCAATCTGGATTTTAGCTGCAGTGGGGCAGGCCCCCAGGAGGGCTGCTGGGAGGATAAGACTGAGCTACAGCTCTCTCTCACCTGTCTAGCAAATCTCAGCCCCATGCCTTGGCTCAATGGCTCAGAACAGGCTAAGGCAGCCAGGGCGGCCAGCATTGAGCCCTATGCTGATAAGGTAATGGAGGTTTATAGAGGGTCAGAGAAAGGCCCAAGGCCATGCAATGCTGAGGGTCAGAGCCAAGACCTGAATTCCAAACTCAACTCTTGCACTGTAGCCATGCCTCCATCACGCTGGGGAACACAAAGGCACCAGAGAAGCTGCAGAGAAGAGAAGAGGCTCTGTCCCTGCAATCCTGCGGCAATCCCTGATGACGCCAGTGATGTAAGAGGAGGCTGTGTCTGCAAAGGTTGAGGGTCAGCAATATGTCGGTGCTGCCAGAACAGGATAGACCCCTGGCCGTCCCTGTCCCTGCCCCCGGTGGTCTTGAAGCATCATGCATGCTCCTGTTCTGCCGCTCAGCCCACTGAAATCGTCGCTGCACTGGGAGCTGGGCAGGACAGGGGTAGCACCTCATTCTTCTGGGCTTCCCCTGCACCCAGCACAGTGCGTGGCACATAGCAGATGCACTATCAGTATTTGCTGAATGGAACATGGGATCCTTGTTACACATTTTGCATCTGGGAGACAGTAAATGAGTAATCTCTGGGCCTCAGTTTTATGGTCGAAGAACCGGCGACTCAGTCATAGGGTTACTGTGAGGATCAAACCAAATCAGAGGATGCAGGTGAAACCACTGAGCTGTGATCTTGACTGTTCTGATTGCCCTGCTGTTTTTTTTTTTATAAAGTGCTCCTTCTAAGCACTAGTTCTATGAGATGGGACATGCTCGGAAGGGGTCACCAGAGGAGCACTGGCCTGGGGGAGCCCACCTCTCATTTCTGCTTAGCCACTAATGGACTGTGTGTCCTCGGGCATGCAGCCTCCCCTCTCTCCTCCTCGCTGTCTTTCCTCATCAAACCAGGGGATTGGGCTGGACAACCTCTGAGCTTCCTTTCTCTGTTGACAATTCTCTGCATCTGAAACCAGAGGTGTGAGGGTCGGGAGTACAGGGGGATGGATGGAGATTAGGCAAAGAAACTTTGCAGGCCCAACGAGAGAACGAGGCTGCAGGCTGCTGTCTTACAGGCCTCGGAGATGCCTGGGTGAAGTCCTTCTCTGCCTCAGGACAGGCCAAGGGCTTCCAGGAACTGTTTCTATGATTTTATAAGCAGAGGCCTCCTCCTCACTCTGGCAAGCTGCTATTAAACTACAGACTCAGTAATGCCAGTAGCTTCCGGCCAGGTGCGGCTAGGAAGACCATGACCATCAAGCAATGACTCCATGGGTTCCTCTGAAGCTCAGCCTCCCTGCTCCTGGCTACCCCTGAGCCTGTGTCACCTGCAGGACCGAAATTTCATTCTTTACTTGGCTTGGACTTCGGTGTAGATCTAGGAATGGGGGTATCTCAAAGATATAGACTGGATCCAGTAAGAAAAAGGGTATGGTATAGGATTAGCTTTTCATTTATTTGTCAAATCTGAACCTCAGT